TCTGAACACAAATGGTTTGCATACAAGTTTGATATACAATATAGCTATTTGGTATTTATACCTAAGAGTATATACTTGTACTTGAATATATTGCATACAATGTTCATAACATTATGTTTGTACATAAATTTAAAGTAAAGGTATCGGGTAAATAGAAATTGATTGTGATTATATTTATATTCACTTTTATTCCTTAAATTTATTGAAATAATTATGAATACACGTATACTTGATTTTGACAATGTTGGGTAGGTTGGGAAGAAAAAGAAGAGAAAATTTACTTATTTTTATCGAAATAAATGTATAAGAGAACCGTTATTTTACTATTTAGCATACAAAAATTTATATATACAAATTTTTCATATATAAATTATATAAGTGTATAATAAATGAAATTCACACAGAAAATTTTATTGATTAATTTTAATTTTGAAAATAGCCGTAGTCTGAACCATCGCTATAATGTATACAATGTATGTAGGTGTCATAATTTAAAATTTTAAAATTAACATAGAAAATAAATTTGATAAATTACAGGATATGCAAAGCATAGAAAAATATATTCTTATAAAACTTGTTTAAATTTAATTTTTATGAAAATGTGGGAAAATCATTTTTTATAATTCATAATACATAAAATTTTCTCTTTATAACATTGATAAATTTTTTGGAGAAAATGAAGGTACATATTATTACATTTTATAGAATGATGAGAATTTTTTATATTAATTATTATATATTTATGTTATATTTAAATAAAAAATTAAAAGGCACGGAAATTTTACAAAAATAAATAATTTTTCATTCATAAAAGTTTTGTTCGTTTGAAATGTATTTGTATTATAAATCATTTTATTCTGCCGAAGGAAGAAGGCATTAAATAAAATTTAAATTAAGTATTGGTTGAACGAATGTACAAAAATTATCTTATACCTATATACATAATACAACAATTAAGGTTTTTTGAAAATGTATACATATGTATATAAATATATATATTATGAATATTATAAATCTAAACTATTTTTCATATTCAATCTTAAATTAGTTTCCTAAATGTACTTACGTAAGAAAGAAAGAGAAATTTAAAAATTTGCCGCATTTCAAAATTGTTTGGTACATATAATATTGTTTGGAATATATGAGTGACCGTAGGGGGGAAGTGGTTAAAAAATAATCTTGAAAAGGCTTAGTCTTAAGAAGCAGCTACTGACGGTGCACGTTGTATATACCAAGGCGATTTACAGGAATGTGTCGCCTTTTAAGGAGTGTTATGGTTATATATCGAAATTTTCGAAAAAAAAGTGAAAAACCGCTTTTTGCTATTTTTTGTGTTGTGCTACAATACTTACGTTGGTCTAATCGTATACATGATGCAACTAGAAAAAATATCAAAATTTAAGGACAGAGATTCATTTAGAATAACTGAGCGCGGTTTGTAAAATATTTGAATCAAAATACTACAAATGGTGCCAATTCCATTAATCTCGCCAATCCACCCAAAAAAATCATAGATGTGAACAATAATCATCACCATAACTAGGTTTACGGAAAACCCCATCAAACCCATACATTGAAACTAATAACAACTCAAATTGTTTTAGAAAAATTACATATCTAAAAAAAAAAGCCCGGAAAATTAATTTTTTCTTTATAAGTACAATACGAGTATAAAAATTATATTTAAAGAATATTTTAGAATTTATGCAATCATTCATCCATTTTATTTCGTATTTATTCTCAGTGTGTATGTATATGTTGATTAGACGAAATATTACACATATACAATGATATAATTATAATAAAATCATTTAATTTAGAAATCGTTTAAAATTAATTTGAAACCTAATTAAGTAAGCTATTTCCGGTAAAAATACAAAATGAAAAAAAAAATAAAAAACGCTAATCGCAATGTCATACATCTTAATCTAATCATATACAAAACTAAAAACAAAATAAACGAAACCAAATACTTAAATCAATCATTTTTAAGTTTAAAATTTTATGAAATTCACACAACTTTTTAATTACTAATCTTTATATTATTATACATATTGTAATCGGTTTTCCAAATATATAGAGCTAGAAATTAATGTATTTTCTGTAAACTGAAAATAATATTAAAATCAAATCTCAATTCGGAATTTAAAAAATTTATTATTATATTAATTTCCTCCAAGCTCATTACTTTTAAGAATAATTAAAGCAAGATTTTTTCTCACTTAACACTTTTTCAAAAAAAATTTGAAAAAAATTGCTTATTTTTTTAACTCTATCCGTCTGTTCGTCTATGTTTCTGTTTACTAAATTTCTATTTCCTTTAAGATAGACAATTTTAAATAAATTTTTACCAGAAATTTATTTCCATTAAAGAAAATTCCCTAAAGCCCCTCATAGTCCTAAAAATGCGTGTCTAGCCTTATCACCACTCGAAAATCGTTAAATTTAAATTTTCCAAATTCCTATAAATGCAGGAAACTGATATAAATATTTACACATCTTGATTCATGCAAATAACACTTGAATAGGACCATTATGTTAGTGCCTCTACTATTTTTTTTTTTTTGCCTCACCCTAAATATATGCAAATATTTCAAATATTTTGGTATATGAATCAAACTAATTTACAATGTAACACAGTCGAACACGCTTAATATCACATACAGAAAAATGTGCCAAGAATTTTGTAAATTTAAGGGAGTTGTGAAACTAAGCGATGCTCGAATAAATTCATATTATGTAAAACAAATTCACAATGTTCCCCTGGTGTTTTTTTGTAATAAGTACTTTTTTTATGTCAAATTTTAATTAGGTGAATTTAAGCAAGCAAAATTGAATGAAATTAGACATTTTTATGGAAATTACGTGATTTTAAGAAAATTTCTATTAAGCGAGTTGGAATATGTATAATAAAGTATATATGGAAATTGTTCTTGTCAAAAATATTTTGAATATAAACGAGTTCTTATATCAAACAGGATTGATCAGTACAGTGTTCGACTGTACTGGTTTGAAAAAAACAGTATTTTCACTTTATTAAGGGAAAAGTGCTATTTTACAAACCATTTATTAGACCCAATGTTATTATATATAATATATAGGTATATGTATGTGCCGTGAAAAATTTATTTTACAATTTCTTTAATTTTAACGATTTTTTTTTTTTTGGTTGAATTGTTAAATGGTTGATCTTGAATATTGAATTTAAAGACTAAGGAATTGAAGCATTAAAAAAATAATGAAAAGAAATAAAAACCTATTTTTATTTCAATACAAGAAAAAATAAATATAATTTTATTTCCTAGCGCAAGATATCGTGATTTCGCACAAAACAAAAATCGTAATTGAAACGTCCAATTATAACTAAATAATAAATCACAAAATAGTTTTTTTTTTTTTAAATCGACAAAATGGCTTCAATTACTTTATCAATCGATCTATAACAAGTTGAATTTTAATTGCATGATTTTGATTGAATTCGCGAATAACAGAAACGATTAAACATTTAATTGTTTAATAATTCACATGATAACTTTAATTGATATTTAATTAAAAGAAATAATTAATATTTAATATTAAGTACTTGAAACAAAGAGAATAAAGAAATTTATTATGCATTTGTGACTTACTTACATATTTTTTCGTCTTTATATTTTTTGGCTCAAAATAATATTGTATTGTAGGTAGCCACTTGGTATGTTTCAAATTTTTAATTTTTAAAATTTACTTAAGCAATTAACATAGAAAATTGATCTTTTTGGAGAATGTAACTTTTTATAAAAATTATTTAATTTTATCATTTCTAATATCGGCAGTTTAAGAATTTGGATATAAATGAAATAAATTAATAAAAATGGGTTATTTAATTCCTGTTTATTTTGTAGAACTGAATATTTATAGATGATCCGACCATTTGTGTAGCGGTAGAACGGAGTTTCCAATTGTCGTAAAATTTTGTATATGTATAACTTTCGTATTCAAACTGAAGTATTGTCCAATACAAGTATAAAATTAATACAAAATATAATTACATACCGTACAACTGATTTATAAAATTCATTAAAAATTTGGGTGCTAGGTTCATCATCGAAGTAGTTTAAAATTGCACTGATTAGCAACGATATCTTATGGAAAAAATCAAGTACTTATTTCTTTGAGAAGTTATCCACCTATAGTAACAATACGATTTTATTGATAAGATTCATAAAGCTGCAGGTCTTTAAACCGTTAGTGTACCACATGATTATGTTCGACCACATTCATAAGTAAATTGATTTATTTAAATCTGTATGATATAAAATAATGCCAACTGTTAAAACAATTTCAATTTTTATTTTTAAACGTTTTTTATTTTCACTTTTCAGTCTACTCGGAATTACGCTCCTTATTTAAGTAAAATAAATGCTTAATGCACCTGCAATAAAAAATAATGAATAAGATGTCCACGAACAGAGGGTAAAGTTTCAAGAATCATTACTATTCCTCTTATAATTCTCAGGAAGCATAAAAATTAAAATTTAATTGATAATATTATTTTAAAAAATTAATCCTCTTCTTACCGACATACCAACCAAATTACCTATTGAGTCTTGGTCACCCTTTATAAATAGAACATCCTGATTTACTTATATTCCGAATATTTTCTAAGTTGTACATACATATTTCTAAATTTCACCTTTACTCATAGATTTAGGCAGCCAACAATAATTTTCTCGCATTGTCTGACAGTAATTGTGTTACAATTGCCATTTAAGTGTAATAATTTAGAAATTTTCTTTGCTATGATTGTTATGCTTTTACTTTTTATGAAAATTTATTTTCTTTAAAAATATATTGAGTAGACTAAAAGAAAATAAGTAGAAAATTTATTTGACTGTTTATTTATTAATTATTTGTGCCTACTATTTTGAATAATAAAAAAAAATATATTAATTTTAATAATAAAATAAGTTTATGAATGTATAAAATATTTATAAATTTTCTTTTCTTTCTTATTTCAGACTATAATATAATTCTGGCAAAAATTTTTAATCAATTAAAATTGGTCAATGACGCGAAAAAATGGTTATAGTTACGAGGGTAAGTATTTATTTATATAGCAAATAATCCATACCTATACATATGTATATGGAAATCAAGTACATTTACTGATTCAAGTAAAATCTTTAATGAAAGTTTAGCAACAAATAATATAGTGAACGACATACATATGTACAATTCAATAGTACTTAGTACGAATATTTTTAGTTCGTTTATAAAATAAATTCCGCAATCATAACCTAAATATTTTCAATCCAAAAAAAAATGATTCAATTTTTTAATTTCATTGTTCTTATAATATTTCTTTATATATACATACATATATATATATTTTGACACTTTCCATTTGTGACCTTGTTAAAAAATTCATAATTGCTTGTTTAAAAATGAGATTAGTTTTTAATAATAAATTAATTTAAAAATTTATTAAAATGGCCAGGTTATTATACCATTTCAAATGAAATCAATAAAATTATGGTAAAACGTTTCACGAGAACCACAAATTTTACAAGAAACGAATAAGGCCATTCAACTCATTTAGGAAAAAAAAAACTTTTATTCATAAAATTTTATTTTAAATACAAACGTAATAACTTTACCAAAAAATTAGGAAAAATATGACTGACCATATTATACAAGTTAGTAGTTTCAGAAAATTTTGTATACAAAAAAATATGTGTAAATTTCTTAAAATTAAAATTCTATAAGCATATTGCGCAACCCGCAGCATAATCTTTAAAATTTCCTATTCATTCAATCTTTTATTTTTTTTTCTTGTTTTCTTAATATAGACTATAATTTTCACCCACATTTTCTTATATTGAAATGTTTCTATATATGTATGTATGAAAAAAATTTGATATATAGAAACCAAAAATGGATAAAATTACTGAATTGCAGAGGCGATTTGTGTGAAATGTGAAACTGGATTTTTTTTTTATTTTTTGCAAAAATTAAATACAATATAAAAATAAATCAAATCTCATTACGACATAATAAAAATGAATTGAGAATAAATTAATTTATAATTGATTAGGAACATAAAATATAAAAATATTTTGAAAATTGCTTTATTAAATTTTTTTGTTTCAAATATTTTTTAAGAGAATGCGATATAGGGTAGGGAATTTTACTGGTTTAAGTTAACATAAAATAAATTCAAAAAATAAATTCCGCTGAAAGCATTTTTGGTAATAGAGCCTTCCATAATTCAACATAATTTAGTTGTGACTTCTTAAGCTTGAAAATTAATTTGATCATACCTTAGAAACCATAAAAAGATTAGTAACAACGCCATTATTCAAAAAAAGAATGAATTCACACAACTCTCACACAACCCTACACAAAAACTCCTACCGATATCACAGAGTTGACACGGTTGGACAATGCTATCTTTTTTCGCTTCGTTTTTACTAATATATCACTTTCGATTTTACATACTTAAATTTTTTGAAAATTATTTTGCATCCCCATATCACTTTCCAACATGCTTAAGACATTGATGTTAAAAATTTATAAATTATCATGACGTAAACGTCATTAAGCTTTGAATTTTACAATTTTTAACCGGTCATATGTCGCTTATGGTAAATTTTTATTACTTTTTGCAATAATTAAAACAATTTTATTTTATGAATATTGCAAAGGTCAAAATGTTTTTGCTCTTTAACTTTGGATTTACAATACCTACATTGTTGCCACATCGTCTTCTTATAATTCAATTTTTTAAATTAGAGTTTTTTTTACAAAAATTTTTATGCATAGGTAGTTATATGCACGTATCTTTGAAAAATAAACACTAGAAAATCTTAAACTATAATACAAATGTTTTCTTTACGTCACAATAAACACACATAAACACATTCAAAAACCGTATTATATATTTTGCACCGTTTACACACAAATGCACGTATAATAGATCTAGCAAAGGTGCAAAAATTAGGACAAGATCAAAATTATATTTTTATTCAAACACATTTAAAAAACAAAAATGAAAATTACCGTTTAATCTCTTTAATTTTTTTTAAATGCCTACATACTCGTATTTAATACGTTTATAGGTGTATAGAGTTAAAGTAATAAAAAAGTTTTTGTATATGTCAATGGTGCAGTGGAAAGACATGCTAAGTAATAAAATTTTCAAAATAATGATCCTCTAATGTAATAATATAGATTACAGTGCCGTACGTGTATTTGTTTGCGAAATTGCTTCGGTTGAAATAAGTTAAGTGCAAAGTCTAAGTAGCAAAAAAAGGCTAATTGCATTTTTACAATGTTTGTAATACAAAAACTGATATATGTATAATATTTGAAAAACTGATATATAGTATTGAAATATAAATATGCTAAGTACTAAACACTATTTGCTATATTATGGTAAGTCCATAACCTTCTATGCAAAAACTCAAATTTTATTAAAAAAAACTTGTTTGAAATCAAAAACTAATTTAAGTTTAGAAAAAAACAAAGAAAACAATCAAATCATATAGCGTTATTCTAATTAAATGACTTTTTGTCACAAATTTGCAATTTTTCAAAACGCTCCCCCGTATAATTCTAAATTTTGTACTTAGCATATTTTTGCGTTACACCATCGATATATAAAATATTAAAAGAGTGAAGATAATTTAATTTGAACTTTCTGACATAATTAATTTTTTTTATTAATTTATTACGATGTATATTCATTATATTTATGCATGTATGTGTATTGTATACATATATGTATATAGCATAAAATTACTGATTATAATGAGTAATCGTTTTTCTCCAATTATATATTTACATACATTTAAAAACTAAGCCATTTCTTAATTAACCTGTGTACATTTTATGTTATTTTTTATTAAATGAGCATATAATATATAATATATATGATTACTTATATGACTTAGCGTCTGCCAAAATGTACATAGACCTATTATTATATGCAGCTTCAATTACATATAGTTAAAATTAAATATAGGCTAATTTCAAATTTAATTTTAAATAAAATTCAAAATAAAGCTAATAGTACGGAAGTATGACTTTCAAAAATACAAGTTATCAATAAAAATGTAAAGTCAATTAGGATAATGAGAATTCAAAAAGCTAAATGTCGCTAGGTGTCTCTTGTTCGTTTGGAGGCATTCTATCACTCTACTGCGAGAATACTGTTGAATATCGTATACCGTGTATTCCTTACAAAATGTTTTCCCTTATAATTAATTTATATTTTTTAGTTTACTACTAAAACAAGTCATTCACCTTTATTCATACATAGTATATACGATTCGCTCTTTTTAGAGAAAGAATTACCAAATTACGTTCAACCACATTATAAAGGTTGAGTGTTTTATTCTGTAAACTGTTTAATGACAATATTATGAAATTATTTATTTTACCATATATTTTATTATTATATTAATATCGTGCTCATAATATAGCAAAAAATATATAAAAATATTCATATATTTTTGCCTGTTGGTACAGCAAACAGCAGAGAACAACATCAAAACAAAAATAAAAGTCACGCTTAACGTGGATTCATAAAATTGTATTGATTACGTCGCGTCGTGTTGAATTTAAAAGAAGTAAAATAAAATAATAATAATTGTAGATTATATTGTTAAAAAAATGGTTAAACAACCAAGTATTATTTACTTGGTATACATTATGGAAAATAATGATTTTAGCGATTAAGCATTTAGAATCTTTTAACTTTACTTAATAGTTTTAATTTTTGTAAAACTTCTCAGAATAACGAAAAGAAAAATTTAACAAAAAAAATTCCTATTGTTATAATATAAAGTATATAGTCTGAGAATCTTCAATGTCCAAAATTGAAAAATCATCTCTTTAAAAGAAAATTTCAAAATAAAAAGTGTAAGTGATTTCTCTTGTCAGGTCCATTTTCATTTTAAAACTCAGCTTAATTTCAATTCTAAGAAATTCAAAAAGAAAAAAAAAACAAGATGGCAAAATAAGAGACAAGAAAAGAAACAAAAACTAAAAAGAAAAAATAAATTATCATTGTAAAAGGCTAGAAGAAGAGGTGCGATGCGATGGATGGATGAATGGAAGTGAAAAGCAAAAATATATTACCATACATTTACCTTGGAATTATGCTAAACGAATCTTACTAAATATTTATAATGACCCTATTGTTATGGATTTCATTTAAAAAAAAAAAATATACAAAATTTCATCTTCACATCATCATGACCATATCATTATAATTTTCAGAATAATTGTTCAATGTCAGCAAGTCACGTGCTATTTTTTTATTTTATTTTTTTCTATCTTTCTTTCTCTCTCTGTCTTCCCTTTTTCTTTGTTGCTTATAATGTCTGTTACTTAATACAATTTTATTGAATATTAATTTTAAATATAATGCTTCTTATGTGCAATATTATGTGGTACGGTCCTAAAATATTGGACCTTTTTCTGAATATCAAATCACTAAGTGATTATAATAAGTATCGTAAAATTTCCATTAATTTTGTTACAGACACGAATCTTGCGTATGAACTGGTTTGTGTTAACAATAATAACATTGAACTATTTACGATAAAAATCACTATCACTTAGTAATTTTATAATCAGAATAAGTCCAATTCTTACAAATTCTAATAAGTATTAACAATTAGCCAAATCATTGTAGAACTAGTAGTTTCAACTTTAAACAAACTATTTGTAAACCATTATAGACATTTTAAAAATAATAACATAAGTATGTAGGTGACTGGAGAGATGTCATCATGGGAAATGGTTCCTTCCATCTTGCTCAAGCACATAGAACTGCTGTGAATGGATCGAAATCGGGTTCGAGCTTTTGGAACAAATTTGGAAAATCTGACTCCCCTTTGTGTAGATTCTGCCGAGATAATGACGAGACGATCATACATATTCTGTGTGACTATCTTGAGGTGCATATTGTTTGGCGGGGCTTTTTTAGAGTTGGAAAGCTCACGTCCAATGCCCTGAGAGGTATCTTCGAGTATTTGCTTCTAACTGAGGTAATATAAGTGGGTAATAGAGGGACTACATTAAGCATTAAGGTCGGAGGGGAGGAATTCCTTTGTCTATATCTCCCATCAGTAATCTATAATCTACAGTCACTCTTTATTTAAATATTATAAAAGTAATTTCACACCTTATAATATAACATTTTTAAAAAACTACTAGACATTTTGACGCCCGTAATTTTTCGAGAAAATGTTTACAAAAATATTATAAACATAATTATTCCATTAATATTTTTATGTTAAAATAAATTTTGTGAAAGTTTGTGAAAAATAATATTTTCAAACTGAAATCCAAAACTGTATCTACAAAACATTCAAAATAACAAGTTTTTTTTTTTTTGAATGTACAATGTAAACATTTCAGGTACACCTTACACGCCTTACTTATTTCATACTTTGTTTTTTATTTTCTTTAACGTATCTTCGCAAGTCTATGATTAGACACACATTGATTTTTCCACCCATTTTTTTTTGCCAGTACCTTCTACATATAATTATTTTTTTTTGATTTTTATTTTGTTTAAGTTCCACTTATTGGCATTAAAACATTATTGAGTTGCAAAAAGTTCAGTGCAACCAAAGTACAAAAATTAAAAAAGAAAAGAATAAAAACACCGACTTTTTCGGTTTACACTAATATGTGAGATACAAATTGTTTGTGTGTAAGATAAGTGGTACATATATACTTGTAAATCATTTTGTCAACATTGGATGCTATATTTTAAAGACGAAATTAAAAGGAAAACTGTAATTATGATAATATCCAGACGTCCATACATTTTACATTGTTTTGTGTTTAAAAATATTGTCCTTGAACATTTACGCCAAAATCTATAGAAACAAAAAGCAGACAATCAATTTTTAATTCATGTTTTTATACCCATACGAATGTATGGTCAAAGGATATTATAAATTTATCACTCCATTAGTATCGGTATGAAGTAACTAAAGTCTGGGATATATAGATATGTAGATACATTCTTGTGCAGGGTTGAATTCTGAGATGATTTAGCTATGTTTGCCAGTCTGTCCGTCTGCTCGTATGTAGGACTGTCCGTCCTAGTGGCAATTCAAAAACTAATTGAGTTAAGCTCCAATAATAGATCTCAAATAAAATTCTGATAATAGATTTCAGAACTCTATTTAAATTGGCGAGACGGTGGTTTCGGTACTTATCATATTGAAAATCTTAAACAATCTTTCGTTTTAAAAAGTGGAAAAGTCAAAAAGTCTCTGTACAAACCAAGTCCAAAACTTTTCATCAGAATGAAAGTTACGCCTTGGTTTAAGAATATTTTTGTATTAAAAAAGAAAGTTTAAGCCAATAATATATTCACACTATCAAATCTTTTTTATATTTTCATATTTTCTCAATACACATTAAGAAAAATATGAAAATACTATGTAACGTATGTATGTGTACTTTAAAGTTTCGGTACATTAACCTTCACAACAGCGTTGATTATTATAATTGTACTTACACGCAAATTTACTGTCATAGAAGTAATTTTAAGGAAACTATTTAAATTCAAATTCTATGGTTAATGATTTTCTTACTTTTATTTAAGAAAATTTTACGTGAAAAAATTAAAATATAAAAGAAAAAGCAAAATTAAAATATAAAAGTAAAAACGCATACAAAAGCTATTGATCATCGCAATTTTTTTTTTTGTACTTTTTCATATTTTCTGATTACTTTGTCAGTCAGGTTGAATTATGCAAACTAACATACAATTTAATTTTTATATATAAGAATGCATGTAATTTATATGAAGGGTACTTGGTTGCTTCCAATTCAATTAGAATTCTATTAATGTTTTCAAGACAAATACTTACCAACTATGGTTATAGCGTAGTTTTTCATTAATTGTTTACATAATAGAAGACGGTTGATAGATGTTAAAAAAACATTTTTTTTTTTAATATAAAAATCACTAAACTGTAACCGACTATATCCGCTCTGGTTGAAGGTCTTAAAACTAACTTTGATTAAATTTAACATTATAATTCATGTTTTAATATTATAAATTCTTTTATATTTATAAAAATGTGCGGCAGAAGTAATCAAGGTAAATATGTTTGCTTGAAACCTTCAAAATATATAGCGTGTTATTTGTTTAAATTGCATGTGCCATATAGTAGAGAAAAGAATTTTAAACTCTTTGTAATTCTTTACAATTTCGAAATTGCACATATAGCTATTAGAAGTTACTTCAATGTTTGTAAAGAATGAAATTAACTCTAATATTTTTACTAATAATTTAAACTTTGTTGATTGACGGCTTCTTTCTATAAGCCACTTTTATACTTTCCTTAATATCAGACAGTTCTAGATAACACATAATAATTAGCAATTTAAAATACAATCGTAATCCATTAAGGTAAATTTACTAATTTACATATTTTTTTTTTTTTTACTTATAGGGTGACTACATCTGGATTGAACCGTCAACAGGGCGAGAATTCGATGTGGCAATCGGAGCTCGTGTTATATCGGCTGAAGGAAGACGTATACAAGTGCGTGATGATGATGGCAATGAAGTATGGTTGTCGCCTGAAAGGCGAATTAAAGCAATGCACGCATCCTCCGTTCATGGAGTTGAGGACATGATATCATTAGGTGATTTACATGAAGCAGGCATATTAAGAAATCTTTTAATTCGCTATAATGAAAATATTATTTATGTAAGTAAAAAACAGTTATTTATTTATTTATAGCAAATACATACTAATATCTTTAAATTATTTTAGACGTACACCGGTTCAATATTGGTTGCTGTCAATCCATATCAAATATTACCTATTTATACAGCCGATCAAATTAAATTGTACAAAGAACGTAAAATTGGTGAATTACCACCCCATATATTTGCAATTGGTGATAATGCATACGCTAACATGAAACGTTATCGTCAAGATCAATGCATTGTAATATCTGGTGAATCTGGAGCTGGCAAAACAGAAAGCACAAAATTAATTTTACAATATTTAGCAGCAATCTCTGGTAAACATTCATGGATTGAACAACAAATTTTAGAAGCAAATCCAATACTAGAAGCTTTTGGCAATGCAAAAACTGTTCGAAACGATAACTCCTCCAGGTTGATTATAAAATAATAATTACAATTACCAAAAAAGAATTTAATACTAATTAATTTTTTATTTGAATTTTAGGTTTGGCAAATATATCGATATCCATTTTAGTGCAAATGGTGTTATTGAAGGTGCTAAAATAGAACAATATTTATTAGAAAAATCTCGAATTGTATCACAGAATCATCACGAACGTAATTATCACATATTTTATTGTTTACTAGCTGGTTTATCGAATGATGAGAAAAGAAGGTTAGAGTTAGAAACAGCATCCGAATATAAGTAAGAAAGTCATTTTTAAATTATATATTTGTTGTATGAATAGAAGTTTTACAAAAATGTTTACCTTTTAGGTATTTAACAGGCGGCAATAGTATACAGTGTGAAGGCAGAGATGATGCTGCAGAGTTTTCTGATATTAGATCAGCAATGAAAGTGCTTCTTTTTTCTGATCAAGAAATATGGGAAATAATAAAACTATTAGCAGCACTTTTACACTGTGGTAATATACAATATCGTGCAACAGTTGTTGATAATCTGGACGCAACCGAAATACCAGAACATGTGAATGTTGAACGCGTTGCTGTATTGCTAGGTTTACCAATGCAGCCGTTAATTGATGCTTTAACACAAAAAACTTTATTTGCTCATGGTGAAACCGTTATATCAACATTATCTAGAGATCAATCAGTTGATGTTCGTGATGCTTTTGTTAAAGGGATTTATGGTCGACTTTTTGTTTACATAGTCAAAAAAATTAATAGTGCAATATATAAACCTCGTGCTGTAGCACGTAATTCTATTGGAGTTTTAGATATTTTTGGTTTTGAAAATTTCGATCAAAATAGTTTTGAACAATTTTGTATTAACTATGCTAATGAAAATCTTCAACAATTTTTCGTCCGTCATATATTTAAATTAGAACAAGAAGAATATAATCATGAAGCTATTAATTGGCAACACATCGAGTTCGTTGATAATCAAGATGCTTTAGATTTAATAGCAATAAAACAGTTGAATATTATGGCTTTAATTGATGAGGAAGCTAAATTCCCGAAAGGAACAGATCAAACAATGTTAGCAAAATTACATAAAACTCATGGAGCGCATAGAAATTATTTAAAACCTAAATCTGATATTAATACCAGTTTTGGAATGAACCATTTTGCTGGAGTAGTTTTTTATGATACTCGTGGATTTCTTGAAAAGAATAGAGATTCATTTAGTCCAGATTTATTGCAAATAGTTAGTGTATCGACAAATAAATTTTTAAAACATATTTTTGCCAACGATATTGAAATGGGAGCCGAAACAAGAAAACGAACTCCAACATTATCAACTCAGTTCAAAAAGAGTCTGGATGCTTTAATGAAAACTCTAGGATCATGTCAACCATTCTTTATTCGTTGTATAAAACCGAATGAATTTAAAAGGCCGAATTTATTTGATCGGACTTTATGTTGCCGTCAGCTAAGATATTCCGGTATGATGGAAACAATTCGTATTCGGCGAGCAGGTTATCCAATAAGACATGGTTTTCGGGAGTTTGTTGAACGTTATCGTTTTTTAATTCCTGGTATACCACCAGCTCATAAGACTGATTGTCGCCATGCGACATCGAGAATTTGCTCAATTGTTTTAGGAAAAACTGATTATCAATTAGGACACACGAAAGTGTTTTTAAAGGATGCACATGATTTATTTTTAGAACAAGAAAGGGACCGTGTTTTAACGAGAAAAATTTTGATATTACAACGTTCAATAAGAGGATGGGTATATAGAAGGAGATTTTTAAAAATGAAAACTGCAGCTATTATAATTCAAAGGTATTGGAAAGGCTATGCACAGCGTCAACGTTATAAGCAAATGCGTGTAGGTTTAATGCGACTACAAGCATTGATCAGATCTAGAGTACTTAGTCATCGTTTTAGACATCTTCGAGGACATATAGTAGGATTACAAGCACACGCTAGAGGATATTTAGTCAGGAGAGAATATGGGCATAAAATGTGGGCTGTTATTAAAATTCAATCACATGTAAGACGTATGATAGCAATGAGACGTTATGCTAAATTACGAGAAGATTACCGACAATATAATGAAGTTCTGCGACTGCGAAAACTGGAAGAACAAGAATTGAAGCACCAAGGTAATAAGCATGCTAAAGAAATTGCTGAACAACACTATAGAGATCGTCTCAATGAATTGGAACGTAAGGAAATAGAAAAAGAAATGGAGGAGCGACGTCGTGTCGAAGTTAAAAAAAATATTATCAACGATGCTGCCAGAAAGCAAGAGGAACCAGTTGATGACAGTAAATTGGTCGAAGCAATGTTTGATTTTCTTCCAGATTCAAGTAGTGAAGCTCCAACACCTCATGGAAGGGAAACATCAATTTTCAATGATTTACCACAACACAATAATTCATTGAACAGCGATGAAGTTATAGGTCCAATTCATGTTTCCGAAGATGAAGAGGATTTGTCTGAATTCAAGTTCCAAAAATTTGCTGCCACATATTTTCAAGGCAATGTTACACATCAATATTCAAGGAAACCTTTGAAACATCCTTTACTTCCTCTTCACACACAAGGTGATCAATTAGCTGCTCAAGCACTATGGGTTACTATTTTAAGATTTACCGGGGATTTGCCGGAACCACGCTATCATACTATGGATCGTGATAATACCTCAGTAATGTCCAAAGTTACAGCTACTTTAGGTAGAAATTTTATTCGAAGTAAAGAATTTCAAGAAGCGCAAATGATGGGTTTAGACCCAGATGCATTTTTGAAACAAAAACCACGTTCAATTCGACATAAACTAGTCTCATTAACACTTAAGCGAAAAAATAAACTTGGTGAAGATGTTCGGAGACGTCTGCAAGACGAAGAATATACGGCTGATAGTTACCAATCATGGCTAGAATCGCGTCCAACATCGAATTTGGAAAAGTTGCATTTTATTATTGGTCATGGTATTTTAAGAGCCGAACTTAGAGATGAAATTTATTGTCAAATATGCAAACAGCTCACAAATAATCCTTCAAAATCATCACACGCTAGAGGTTGGATTCTTTTATCCCTTTGTGTTGGTTGTTTTGCACCATCTGAAAAGTTTGTAAGTTATTTAAGGGCATTTATTCGCGAAGGACCACCAGGTTATGCGCCATATTGCGAAGAAAGATTAAAAAGAACTTTTAACAATGGAACTAGAAATCAACCACCTTCTTGGCTAGAATTACAAGCAACAAAATCCAAAAAACCAATAATGCTACCAATAACTTTTATGGATGGTAATACAAAAACGCTTTTAGCAGATTCAGCAACAACAGCAAGAGAACTTTGTAATCAATTATCAGATAAAATAAATTTAAAAGATCAGTTTGGATTTTCATTATACATTGCACTTTTCGACAAAGTTTCTTCATTGGGCAGCGGTGGCGATCATGTAATGGATGCAATATCACAATGTGAACAATATGCTAAGGAACAAGGTGCACAAGAACGTAATGCACCATGGCGTTTATTTTTCAGAAAAGAGATTTTCGCACCATGGCATGATCCTACAAATGATCAAGTTGCTACTAATTTAATATATCAACAAGTTGTACGTGGCGTTAAATTTGGTGAATATCGTTGTGATAAGGAAGAAGACTTAGCTATGATTGCAGCACAACAATATTTTATAGAATATGGAACAGATTTATCAATGGATCGTTTATTTACATTATTACCAAATTTTATACCAGATTATTGTTTAACTGGTGTTGAGAAAGCCATGGATCGATGGGCAGCTTTAGTGTTACAAGCATATAAAAAGAGTTATTATGTTAAAGAAAAAGTAATTCCGTTAAAAATTAAAGAAGATATAGTTAGTTATGCTAAATATAAATGGCCATTATTATTTTCAAGATTTTATGAAGCTTATAGGTAACAGAAATTAATCCAACTAAAAAATTGTGCTTAATAATTATTGCCTTTTTTTTATTAAATAGAAATTCAGGACCAAATCTTCCAAAAAATGATGTTATTATTGCTGTTAATTGGACTGGAGTTTATGTTGTTGACGATCAAGAACAAGTTTTGTTAGAATTATCATTTCCAGAAATTACAGCTGTTTCAAGTCAAAAAACCAATAAAGTGTTCACTCAAACATTTAGTTTATCAACAGTACGAGATGAAGAATTTACATTTCAAAGTCCAAATGCTGAAGATATTAGGGATTTGGTAGTCTATTTTCTCGAAGGATTAAAGAAAAGGTATTTAAGAATAATGTGAAAAATAAAATTATAGCAACAAGTTGTCAAAAGTCGTATATTCGTTTTCAGAAGTCGGATTGTAGTAGCTTAGTTATCTTGTGGTAGTTCTATATTTTAAGTATACATAACCATGTCCAGAAGCTTACTAATTCCGTATTTTCTTTGCTATGTAGTTATATGTGGCCGACTTCATTATTATCGATTAAATCAAAATTTTATCAAAATTTGTTTCTTTATTCCAATTGGTTATAATTGAAATAAAGTAACAAATTTTTGTTTGCAGATTAGTTTTTTTCTTTTCCAATAAAAGAATTTGTTCAAAGGATTTCAAACAAATAATTTCAAAAAGTAAAAGTTTTAGTGTATTTCAAATATGTAGGTATTTAGGAGCACATAATCGATATTTAAATATTTTTCAAAAAAATTTCTGCCCTTTTGGATAATCAACTTTTTTTTAATGACTTTGTTACCCAAATTAATTAAATTTTAATTAAAAATATCCGTAATAAGTCCAATTTATTCAGCATCCAACATTAGTCTAAATTAATGCAAATAATTAATGCAATTGTTTTTTTTTTGCATTTTAACCCTTCCAATTCCATTTTCTCTAACAAAATATTTTGCTAACTAGTTTTATTTTGAAAACAAAAATGAGGAAATTTTCATTATGGCATGAACAATTAATCAAAACTTCACAATTAAACAATTAAAAAAAACATTTTCAAATTGCTTTTTAACTTTTTACATTTAATTATCAACCCATCTAATTCTTTGTTTTTCAATATTATTTTATAAAAGGAAAGTATTAAATACGAAAATTTATTTAATACTATAGGGAGGAATGGAAACAGGGAAGAAGAGAAGTACGCAGATGAAAAGCAATTTAAGTTGTTAAGCCGCTACTTTATTGTATTATGACAATATTTTTATTTTCATAATCATCAAATTTTTCTTTCTGCGAAATCTGCGAAGAAGCACTAATGATGAAATAATTAGGTATAAAAATTTATTTATGAAATGTAAAATGAAAACCTCATTACGCGATTTGATATCATCATCATCATTTAGGCACGAAATTGATGTTGATTTTTTGGATCTTGATGAAAATACATATGTTGTTTTTTTTTATGGATAAAACAATATCTCTTCGCAAATTAAAATTATTTTCACTCTCATATAATGAGTATTCCAAACAAAAAATAATCTTTAAATGTAAAATACGAAAATTCACCGACAACAGTTTCTTGTTAAAAATCTGAATTTAATTTTGAAAATAAACTTTTATACTATTTAGTATGTTTCGGTCTTTTACTATATTTAGGCCTTCATCAAAATTTGAAGTTTAATTAATGTTTTTTTTAATGATTTTTTTTCCCTTTTTTAAATGAGATCTGTCAAATGCTTGCCATTTTCAGCAAAATTCCAATAACTATTATTTTAACTGCATTGAAATTTATCAAAATTCGATATTCAAGTTTGAAATTCGAAAAATTGTAATTTTTCTATTATGAAGATTAGAAAATTTTTAAAAAGAATTATAATCTCCTGTAGAATTTAGAATTTTTGTTATTTTGTTTTATTAATTAAAAATTTAAAAGATCAAGAAAAATTATTGAAGGGAGTCTAACCCAATTTTGATGCAATAAGAATTTGATAGTTTACAATCTATTCACATTATTAACAAAAATTGATCTATAATACGATTTTTTAATTGTAGTGAATTCAACCGAATTTTCTACCGAATTAGAAAATCAAAATATTTTATCGAAAAATCAAAACATTTTTTAATTATTGCAAAGTATTAATACACAAATGACAATTTCAGATTTCTATATGGAATGCTAGTTAACTAAGTCAGAATTAATTTCAAAATTAATAACCAATGTGGTTGCTTTGAAACTATACAAAAAAATATATAAAATAAAAGTTCACTAAAATTGTTTAGTAATTATTGAAGAGTTCAAAATTAAAAATTGAGTTACGAGTACAATAAGAAAAATTTTTGAGTAATTTAGTGATTAATAAAGTAGTGATTAAATTTCTAGAATTATTGTAATAATTATGTAAGCAAATATTTTTTTTATTAGTACATTAATATTATAAAAATTATAAGTTTTAAAAGAAGATAAGGGTGTAGCAGCAATGAATTAAAATACGATATACCTTAATAAGTATATGAGCATATTTCGTATATTATGTTTACGTGTTCTTGTGCAGAAAAACTAAACAAAAATCAAGTAACGTGATATGAAAATTACGGATAAGATTTCAAGAAGTTTTCTATAAAATTTGGAGAATATTTCTCGCATTTAAAATTATTTTATGACACATAAATAATATACATATGTATATTGTACATTGTTGATTGTATATATAGGTAATAAATGCAATATTTCAGTACAATGGTATACAAATATATCATACAAATTCTCTTATATTATAACAATCTTCTTTTGGAATTTTTGAACTAACCTTATTTCTTATTCGAAAAAAAAAACTTGTAAATAATTTGTAGAATACCTGTTCCAAAAAAAAAAAAAAAAAAAGAAATCAAAAAATTAACAATAGAAACATAAGACAATAAAAATATAGAAAAACAACAAAAAAAAAATAATTCAACATAAAATAACACACCTGATTTCTTTTTCATTGATGCTACTATGCCACCATATACCAAAAAAATACTAATTTTCTTTTTATTATTATATAGATGTTATTATTATACTTACTATACTCTACTATTGTATGCTCATATATAAGAATTAATTTCTAACTATAAACAAAAGAGCTTATAAACTTTTTTATTAATTCATATGTGTGTACATGTGTATTATACGATTTTCATCTTAAACTCATGCACAGGTATAAAAAATTTAAAATAAAGACCACAAAAAAAATTAAAATAAAGAGTTCATGGGAAATTTGACGTAAAAAAGATCCAATGATTCAGAAAGTAAAAAAAACTTAACGAAAGATTATGTTCCGTATTAATACTAAATAGAAAAAAAAAAAACAGAAACAAAAAGAAAATTAAAAATCTCTCTCTATATTTCTTTTTATCTTTTCAAACAAAATTAACAATGTCTGGTCTGACAAACTCATCATACACTTATCATCTCTGAATCAAAAAATTATTTACTGCAGTAAGCACCACTCAATTATATGTACGTAACTGCATATTAGTACTGCAATCATTTAACAGTAAAGTGATTAAAAGAACTCATAATGGGATTTCTTTCCAAATTATGTAAATGATAAAAAAATTTTAATGTTTTTTTCTGGTCAAATTCAATTCAATCAAAATTTTACTCAAGCAAAATATTGTAAAGTTATATAAAATATTTGAAACTGTTAGTTTAATTCCTCTCCGAATAGGGAGAAACTAATAGACCTTTTCAAAACCTCAGTATATTATAAAAACTATAAATAGTGCAATATAACAATAATGTTACTTAACTAATTTGTTCATACATGATCAATTTTTTCGCAATATTGCGAAATTAGTATGAGTAGAGCATTTAAAGCATATTTACTATTTTGATTTTATAGAGAACTGAAAAGATATGTTGCATATTCATTAATTATCACGTTATGTTTTAGCAGAATAGCGTTTCGCACGATATTCCCACCGGCGAGAATCCACCTAAGCTGTCCTTTCTCTTATGACCCTAAGCGAAATTCTCTTAAGTGTTTTTAAGCCTGCAGAGTCCCGTCCGTAAACCCGTGTGAACTCTCTCATAATTCCTCAGCATACTTATGATTGCCTTAAAGCACTTCCGCTGGCTACGTTTCGCAGTCAGTTATTATTTTGCAATTTTGTTTTTATGAAATATCTAGTATCGCACACGAATGCTTTAACTTTTTTTCGACTATTTATGTAAATCACATAACGGTACATAGTAACCAATAGTTGAGCTAACACTGATCTGAATTGATATACATAATGTGTGTATGTACATGTGAGTATGTATGAATAGATAAATTCTTAATAGTTTTGATTTTTTAAGAAAGAAATAGCTAGAGCTATCAAAACTTGAATTCAAAATTTAAAAAACCAAAAATTAAAAGAAAATGAAAAACGTAATAAATATCTTTTTAAAAACACATACACATTCATATTAAAATCATTAACATTTATATACACACATAATTAAAAAAAATGACTAAATAACCAAAAAATAAAACAAAAATAAAATAACAAAACTAAAGAAAAAACGCAAGTAATTCATCCTATCCCTATTGTAACAATTGAAAAATAAAATGCTCAGCAATCAAACCAACCCATTGCTTTTATAAATTTTTGTATATCTGCAGCAAAATTATTGCAGTACAAGAAAAAAAAAATAATTTTTCATGTTTCATTACACTTTTGGATTTTGTAGAGTTGTGATCAGAAAAAAAAAAGTTTTTTGTTTTGTTAATATTTTTGAATTTGATGGTCATACCTATTGTATTAAAACCTATACATATGTATAAATATTAATTTATTAATTTTAATATACAAAAATGTACGTTATTGATTATTCATTATTAAAATTTTGATTGTGTATCATTATTGTATTTGGATTGGATTATATTAACCTTGAAAAATAATTTAAAAGTTAAAACTAGAAAGTTGTAAAAAGAAACAGAATTTTTTTTTAATATATAATCAAATCGTATTTGTATATTTTTAGATCAAAATTTGTGATAGCTCTACAAGATTATAGGGCACCTGGAGAAGGCACAAGCTTTTTATCATTTCTTAAAGGTGATCTTATAATATTAGAAGAAGATTCAACTGGTGAAACTGTACTAAATAATGGATGGTGTATAGGAAGATGTGAACGTACACAAGAACGTGGTGATTTCCCAGCTGAAACAGTTTATGTATTACCAACATTAACAAAGCCACCATCAGATATATTAGCATTATTTAATGCTGATGAAGCATCACATGGACGTCGTTTAAGTATGGTATCAAATGGTGTTACAGAACCAAGAGATAGACCACATAATTTAGCTGAATATGCATTAGATCATTTTAGATTACCACCAAAAAGAACAATGTCAAAAACATTAACATTAACAGCAAAACGTAATCCAGATGAGATTTGGAGGTATGAATGTTTATTATATTCACGTACATATATTATAACTGTTACATTGCTTCTATTATATAATCATAAATATACGTATATTAATGTGTAAAAATTGTAATGATCAATAATTATATGTGAATGCAAAAATTCAATTCAAATTTGAATACAAAAAAAGTAACTAACAAACTAAAGTTGATTAAAATTTTTCAAAATTCAGATTTAATTGCAAATTAAAAAAAAAAAAACAAAATAAAGAAGAAATGAAAACAATATTCAATCTCATATTATTTGTTTGTTATGCATGTAATCACACAAAAAAAATTATAATAATAATTTTTATCTATTTCCTTTATACACAAAAATAGATATTCAAGAGATCCAATTAAAGCTCCATTATTAAGAAAATTACAAAGTAAAGAAGAGTTAGCTGAAGAGGCGTGTTTTGCATTTGCAGCTATTTTAAAATATATGGGAGATTTGCCATCGAAAAGACCAAGAATGGGTAATGAAATAACTGATCATATATTTGAAGGACCATTAAAACATGAAATATTACGAGATGAAATTTATTGTCAAATAATGAAACAATTAACAGATAATAGGTTTGTTTATAAAATTATATTTTAATTTAATTTTTTATATTTATTTAATTTCATAAAAATTTTTACTTTCATTCAATAATAAAAAAACTATTTTAACATTTTTTTCAATATTTTTAGAAATCGTTTATCTGAAGAACGTGGTTGGGAATTAATGTGGTTAGCAACGGGTCTTTTTGCATGCAGTCAAAGTTTATTAAAAGAATTAACATTATTTTTACGATCAAGACGTCATCCAATATCACAAGATTCATTACATCGTTTACAAAAAACCATACGCAATGGTCAACGTAAATATCCACCACACCAAGTTGAGGTTGAAGCAATACAGCACAAAACAACACAAATTTTTCATAAAGTATATTTTCCTGATGATACTGATGAAGCATTTGAAGTTGATTCATCAACAAGAGCAAAAGATTTCTGTCACAATATAGCACAACGTCTAAATTTACGTTCAAGTGAAGGTTTCAGTTTATTTGTTAAAATTGCTGATAAAGTGATATCGGTGCCGGAAGGTGATTTTTTCTTTGATTTTGTTAGACATTTAACTGATTGGATTAAAAAAGCTCGACCAATACGTGATGGTACTAATCCACAATTTACATATCAAGTATTTTTTATGAAAAAATTATGGACAAATACTGTTCCTGGTAAAGATCGTAATGCTGATTTAATATTTCATTATCATCAAGAATTACCAAAATTATTAAGAGGTTATCATAAATGTTCAAGAGAAGAAGCAGCAAAATTGGCTGCATTAGTATATAGAGTTAGATATGGTGAAAATAAACAAGAATTGGCATCAATACCGTAAGCTTTTTTTTTTTTCATATAAAATTATTACCGCTAATATGGAAAAATAAACTAATTTTTTTGCATATTTTCAGGCAAATGCTTAGAGAACTTTTACCATCAGATTTATTAAAAATGCAAAGTTCAAGTGAATGGAAAAGAGCTATTGTAGCATCATATAACCAAGATGCTGGTATGAGTTCGGATGATGCCAAAATTACATTCCTCAAAATAGTTTATAGGTATTTATTTTTTGTTTTTTTTTTGCATAAATTAAAAATATTCATTTAATTAAGATCACTTAATTTTTTTTTAATAATATTTTTTCTAATGCCATCAGTCTTAAAACTGAAAATGAAGATCACTATTTTACATGTTAAAATTATTGGTAAAATAATTTAATATTATATTTTTGAGCTACATATATATAAAATTTTTATAAGAATTGATTATGTACCAAAAAAATATAACAAACTTGAAACAATCTCGCAAACTGATATACATATTTAAACAAAACACAAAACTACTTCAAATCAATATTAAAATTTAATTTTTAATTTATTTTTAAATTTAATTAGTATATTATTAAAAAAATACATATATTTTTTAGGTGGCCAACTTTCGGTTCAGCTTTCTTTGAAGTAAAACAAACGACAGAACCAAATTATCCAGAAATGCTTTTAATAGCTATTAATAAACATGGTGTTAGTTTAATTCATCCCCATACCAAGGTATGATTGATTTTTTCAAACTTAAATTCAAATCTATACAATTTATAATATTCGATTAATAAAACTGTAAATTTTATATTTCCTTTTTAAATAATGACTACAATTCTGAATAATAACAATAATCTTAATTGAATGTTAGACATACCAGTGCTTTGTTGATATTTATTAAATTTATAATTTTTAAGGAAATTTTAGTTAAATTAAAAATTAAAAATTAAACTACAACAATCTTATTAGTTAATAATAAAAATGTAAAAATTAGTTTAATTTCTTCTTGTTAATTTTCACCTTTTTTTTTAAAACCTACATAGATATTAAATTTTAATACTCGTAAGACGATGCATATGATTTTTCAAATTGTGAATTTTCTTATTTATCCAAAAATTTCACATATCGAAAATGGTTGAGAATATTTACATAGGGTTTTATTAAGATTACATTTTGTAATACTATAGTGCAATAATATATAAAGTGTAATATAATATTTTGAATTAAAAGAAGATTATTACTCAAAATTAATATTTTTAATTAGGAGTAGTATTATCAAATTAAAATAAATTTTTAAAATAAGTAAAATATAATTATTCTTTTTTTAACGCATTTATATTATTTTAGGATATACTTGTTACACATCCATTTACACGTATATCTAATTGGTCATCGGGTAACACATATTTTCATATGACAATTGGAAATTTAGTACGCGGCTCGAAATTATTATGTGAAACATCTTTAGGTTACAAAATGGATGATTTACTCACATCTTATATATCATTAATGTTAATAAATATGAATAAAAATAGAACGATAAGAGCAAATTAAAAGAATAAAATTAATAATTTTTTTTCTTTGTTTAAAAGAATTCGAATTAATCATGTAATTTTGCATTGTTTTGTTTTTTTTTCTCCTATGCTTTATAAATGAAAATTTTACAACGTTTTATTTTTTATGTATATGCGAACAAAGTACTTAAATATAAAAATTAATAAAACAAAATAAAAAATTTAAGAAAATATTTACATTTTTGTATCGAATATTGTTTCAGCTTCATATATTGTTTATATATTTTAAAATAATTTATATATTAATTATTCAAAATAATTGTGTATTGCATATATTTGATAATTAATTTAATAATTTATATGAAAATTTTATTTAATTTCAAAAATTATAAATATTGTATATTTCTATGAACTTTGTTCATAATTATAAAAGCATAAAAGAAAACGAATTAAAAAGTAAAAACCTAATTAAAAAAAATAAATTCATTACAGCTTACAAAAATTTAAAGTTAATTGTTTAAATAAAAATAATTTTTATAGTTAGAAAAAATAAAGTAATATTAAAATTTTTATATAAACAAATTTATGTATAATGCTTTGTGCGTTTCTTTTATTATACATATTACCATTAATTATATTATATTTTATATAAATTTTTTTTTTATTTGAATTTTATTATTATTATTGGAAAAAAAACGATAAATATTACTTATTATTATAATTTTTTTTTTTGTTTATTTTCTATTATTGAGATATTTGTTCGTTATTTTCCAGTTATTTACATTTAATTAAATATATATATACACATATAGAATAATTTTAGCTATAATATATAATAATATTGTATTTAAAGTATATAATTTATGTTAATAAAGGTTCAACTTCAAATTATTATCAAAAAATTAGGAATTTTTTAAATATTTTTTTATTACTAAATATAATTGACAGAATCTACATAGTTTCTACTTAAGTTGAAGCAGAACTTGCTTAAATTAAAAAACACCTCCAGTGCTTTGGTTGTTTTTTTTTTTATTTCTTCACAAAGAGTATTTTTGATAATTCGGACATGCATTAAAAGTTCTAAACGTAAATCTAAAAAATCTTTTCACAAACAAAATCTACAGAAACTGAATATTTTACTTTTGCAGATTTGTAACATACTCGACTAATTCTTCAATATTCAACATTTTTCTATTTATGCTATTCTTCTAATTTATAATATTTTTGTAAATATTATAAAAGAACTTAAAAAATTCTTTGAAAACTTTAATAATAATCATCATTTTCGAACAAGTTATTTTTGTAGATTTTACATTTAGATTTATAGAACCAGTCCTTTATTAAGAGCTAAGTTAGAACTGAATTATCATTGTACCTTATTTCTTTCTACAATTATATGTCACGATACTCTCTACGGTACCGTGAATATTGAAATTATTTAACGTGTCCCCAATTCCATATTGAGAGTCTCCTTTAGCTGTCTGATTTTTATTATATGTTACGGAAATATTTTGAAAAACGGCTTAATTTAATGAAATAGGATGTTACAAAACTCTGCATAAGTTCTCAAATATTAGAAATTGTTTTAATATAACCGAAATAATTTAAATTTTCTTGTTTTTTGCTCTAGTATACTTTTATTTTTACCAAATGTAATTAAATTTAAGAACTTTTGAGGTTAAAAAAAATTTAAAACATTACTTATTAATAATATTGTGACAATTTAAATTAAAAAAGAAATAATTGCATAAATTTGGGCGAAGTAGATAATTTTAATTTTTAAAATTCTACTTTAAAAGTTACAAAATTTGTATGAACAGTTTAATACTATTGTATGTATAATCTTATTTTTTTGCAAAAGCAAAATAAAAAAAATATTACATTTTTTTTATTAAATTTGCAACACTTTTTACATTTAAATGATTTTAAAGGGTTTTTATACTTATTATTTTTTACTAATTTTTTTACTTATTATATCGGTAATTTAATAATTTGCCGATTCAATTTCTAACATTCGTGTATCTCGAAATACCAAGATGTATAGGAAACTTCAAATGAAAATTTCTTCCAAGAAATTGATCAAAAATTTCCCAGAAAAATTTGTTGGTACACCTTAGAGTACCTGTAACAATTTCAAATTAGATAAGTACACTGAAGCTTAAAAAATTAAATTAAGTTAAAATATATTTTTAAAATAATTATAGTATAGAAATTAATTATAATTTAGAAATTTTATAGAGTTTACAGAAAATAATAGTTGATGTAGTTCTTTGCTTCTATTTTGAAATTCAGAATTGAATATTTTCAGAAATCCAATTATGAACAGAATGGGTCGTTCAATATTTAAAATCTCGTCAAATGAAGAAATAAAAGAAAACATATAAAAAAATAAAAGAAAACATTGTTGTAAATAAAGCAAAAATTGATTACAAATTGCGATTCAAGATTTTTTCCAAAATGCTTTCTTCAACTTATAAGAGAGCATAAGAAATATTTGTTTGAGTTAATAAAGAGAAGAAAAAATGTGACCTCTGATTAAATCTGATAATCGAGTCTTGTGAGAGGCATTTATTTCCTCTACACATTTTATATTAAGACTAAAAACTCTTAAACTCAAATATTTTTGTCAAAACTGATTATTTTTTTATTAATAAAATTATTTTTATTTAGAAGTTGCTGTTTAACAATTAACTGCAATAAAATTACGGATTAAAAAATGTTTTTTAAAATAATTTTCTTTGTTGTTGCTGCTGCATATGAAATAAACTGTGGAGTTTTATATAATTTACAAGCACTAGAGAGATTCCAAGACAGTAATTTAACAGACGATCAGAAACAGAATAGTAAGTTATTAGTTTCACAGCGTTTTTATATTAATAACACAAATATTTTTCAATATTTAATAACAAATAAATTATATATACGTACATAAACTCTTTTAGTAATAATGACTAATACCAATTGGTGGAGCTATATACCCAATACAAGGAACAACCAATTTGACTTTTGGGTAAAAGCTGGATCAAACGCACATGTTTCCATAAGCAATGCTCCGCAATTTGCAATTCCTAGGATTGCATTTACAATTGGAGGTTGGGAAAATACGCAAAGCGCATTTTATATTAATAACACGCAAGTTTAATTCATTATTTAGTAATTTAAAATATTTATATAGTATTTCACTCAAATGCTTTTATTTTATAAACCTATTTTGTTAACAGTTTTGAAACAAGCATATCGAGCCCCGATATACTGGATAAAAATGAATATCGTGGTTTTTGGGTAAAATGGACTCAAGATGGCTACTTCTCAGTGGGTAAAAGACTTGAGGATACACCGTTTTTAACTTATAAGCATACAGAGCGATTATTTCCGATTAATTTTATTGGAGTTGGTTCAAACACTAACAAAACAGCGTATTGGATCATTAACGATGGTAAACTGAATATTTAAATATTTGGTGGTAACTTTATTAGATTTTGAAATTTTTATGAACAGTTGTCTCTAATAACTAAGCTGAAAAAGAAGGTTTGATTTGACTTTTTAGTTACAATTCAACTTTATATTTTTTATTTGGTTTATGCTTAACAAAATTTTTTTTAAAATTACATTTTTATTTTCATAATAGAATTTGATGTTAAAACAGAAAATTATTTAAGTAATATAATTCTTAATAATCAGAAAAGCTTAGAAAAGATTCAGGAAACTGATTTAACAGATTTTCCAAAACAAACACAAACTTATGGTAAGTTCTTCATCACCGAATAACGCAAAGAAAATCGCATTATATTTTTTTATGGGTATACATTTAGAGGTAATGACCAATTCTGCGCAGTTCCGATATGTACCAGCTGTACACCGAAATCATTTAGATTTTTCGGTAAAAGCTGAATCAGATGCGCAAATTTCATTAAGTAACAATGCTAGATTTATCGATCCTAAGATTGTAATTGTAATTGGTGGATGGGAAAACTCAGCTAGTGTGATTCGTATAAATGATGTGTAAGTTTAATAAATTTGTAAATTAAATCAAAAATATCTGTTATTTAATTTAAATAAAACTGATCAATAAATAATATTATTTAACCATTTATTAATAGTAATGTAACCAAAAGCAATACTCCAGATTTATTGAATGATACTGAATATCGTGGTTTTTGGATTAAATGGTTTCAAGACGGCAATATTTTAGTTGGCAAAAAAAATGAATTCTTACCATTTTTAGTGTACAAGTATACGGAACAATTTTTTCCAATAAACTTTATCGGTGTTAGTAGCTTAGACAATCGCACTACAGCACATTGGATCATCAATGAAGGTAAACATAATTAATTATTACTTAAAAAAAAATATTTAGAATATTAGATCAAAATTTATATTAATATTTTTATAGACACTGAACTCTTCAGCAAACCGCGATGTTTAGACAATGTTCAAAAAACTGATTTAAAAGATTTTCAAGAGCAAAGACAAAGTTATGGTAAGTGTTTCATTATAAATGGTATATAGATATTTCAATTATATAGAATAATAAAAATTACACTTATATTTTACGAATATACATTTTTTTTTAGAAATAATAACCAATACTCCACCATTCAGATATGTACCAGCTATGAGACAACATCGTTTAGATTTTAGAGTAAAAGCTGAATCAGACGCACATATTTCTTTAAGTAATGCTGCAGAGTTATTGGATCAATGGAAAATGATAATTATAATTGGTGGATTAAATAATACAGCAAGCTCAATTCGAATTCATAATGTGTGAGTTTAAGAACTTATATATTTTAACTATTTATTTTTTTTAACTTATATGTATATGCATAATACTTTTAAACAAAAATGTAAATTATATTAACAGTAATGTAACCAACAACAATACACCAAATATACTGAGTAAAAATGAATACCGTGATTTTTGGATTGAATGGACTCAAGGTGGTGATATTTCAGTAGGCAAAAAAGAAGAATTTATTCCATTTTTACTATATAAATATGTTGGACAATTTTATCCAGTCAATTTTATTGGATTTAGTTGTGAATCCAATAATATAACAGGGCATTGGATTATTTATTAATGATGGTAAAAAAAAAATTTAGTTTTTTGTTTTGAATAAAAAATATTTTATTTTCCAATAAACAGTTTAAATTGATTTCAGTTGTGAAGAAACTTGGGCGAATAACAAAAATTACTTTTAATTTTACAAAATATAGCAAAGGAATTGAAAGACTCTTCTTAATTTTATATCAATATAGTTTAAAAATTAATGTATAAAATTATTTTTTAAATAAATTAATGCATAACATAAAGTTTATTTTCAGTTCCATATTAAATACTTTAAGTCATTGTGATCTGTATTATTATAATACTGAAATATTACTGAACATGTAAGTATTAAAAAAATTTTTGAGATAAGAGTTTTGTAAATCAGTCAATGGTTTTTCCCAACATAAACAAAAAAAATCTTCTGACTCGACTGATTTATTTTTAGAAAATTTTATAATCTTACTCGTATTTAAAAACCATTTACATAATATTGAATTTAAAAAACTCTCATATGAAAAGCATGAAACCCAGTTTTTGACATGTTCATTTCAAGGTATGTTCATTATGAAAGTAATTTATACGAGAAAGCCATAAAATAAATTGTCTACAAAAAGAGTAAGTAATATATAGCTAATATTTAATATTTATTTTCGTGGCCCATCAAAGCATCAATATTATTTTCGGAAAAAATAACAAGCCTAGAGGGTAAGTACACCAAAATGTGGATAGTGACAAAAATGTAAACTGGATAGATAGATGGATAGCGGAAAACCTATTTTACTGCAGAAATTTAATACCGTATTTCTCAGGGAATACGACAGTTTATTTAACAAGTGTAGCACAATTCGCCAATTTGCTACTTTAATATCGAATTATCGAACAGTAAGGAACAAAAATGGCATTGATTTTTAATGTATCAATTAATGGAACTATTTTTCTCAATATTTAATATATTTTACCTTGTGTACATTGCGGTAGTCGTATCGACCTAACCTAATATATTTTATATGTATTCGTATGTGTTTTATATATTTAAATTTACATATTAAATATATATGTAATTAGAGTTGTATTTTTTGCTTTTTCCTTTAAAAAACTGAATAATTTTTTAAAGAACATGGGCCAGCATATAAAAAGGTCCGAAAAAGTTTACAGGCTCCTGCTGTGGATGATCAATAACAAATTCGTAAAAAAATATAGAGTAAGTTTCACAATTTTACATAATCAATGATCCGTATAATATTTAATTATTATTTCACAATTTGAACAAATATTAATTAATATTGTAAATTAATTTGTATACTAATAAAAATGTTTATTTAATACCTTGATTAAAAGTGAAGAAAAAAATTTGTTCTTAAGAGCATAAAAAATAAATAAAAAATTGCAGTTCGAAGAGTCCACAAATATTTTTTCAAATATGCTTTCTTCAATTTAAAAGAGAGCATATAAAAAATATCTGTTAAAGTTGATAAAGAGAAAACAAATATGACCTCTAATTAAACCTGATAATTGAGTCTTTTGAGAGAAATTTCTTTCTTCTACACTTTTTATATTAAGGCTAGAAACTCTTAAACTCAAATATTTTTGACAAAACTGATTATTATTTTATTAATTAAAAATTATTTTTAATTATAAATTTGCTGTTTAGCAAATAACTGCAATAAAATTACGGATTTAAAGAATGTTTTTTAAAATATTTTTTATTATTTTCACTGCTATATTTACAACTAATGCCAAAATTTTTGATAATTTGCAATGTATAGAAAAATTTCAAGATGCCAATTTAACAGATATTCAAAAAAGGAATGGTAAGTTATTGTATATATATATATATATATACACAATATTTATATAGTATTTAGACAATGTACATAATTTTAGTTATAATAACTAATACTGCACCGTTCAGATACGTACCAGCTATAAAACGAAATCGTTTAGATTTTTGGGTAAAAGCTGAATCTGATGCACATATTTCTTTAAGTAATGCTCCACAATTATTAGTTCCTAAAGTTCTTATTATAATAGGTGGATGGAAAAATACGGCAAGTACAATTCGTATTAATGATGTGTGAGTTTAATTATTTTGATCATTTAAAAAATTTATATAGAAATTAATAAATAAATAAATATAATATTTATATAGCGATGTTATAAAAACTAATACTCCTGGTATATTAGATAAAAATCAATATCATGGTTTTTGGATTAAATGGACACAAGATGGTCATATTTCAGTTGGTAAAACAAATGAAAATACACCATTTCTAGTATATAATCATACTGAACGTTTATTTCCAATAAACTTCATTGGAATGACTTGTATATTTAATCATATAACAGGATATTGGTTTATCAATGAAGGTATGAAATATAAAATATTAATGTTAATAATAGAATTATACCTTCCTTATTATATAAGAGCAATATTATTATTGATTGCTTGTATACTTGAATATAATAATTTTCTTCTTATTACAGAGTTTAATATTGAATCAACAGAAAATAATATTGATGTTAGAACTGATAAAAATTTTGGATGTTTAGACAAAATTCAAGAAATTGATTTGTCCGATATTGATTTACAAACACAAACTTATAGTAAATTTTTTATATTTTATATACATAATACTTTTTAGAATTCTGTGATTGTACGAATCATATAATAATTTTATACGAATCTATTTATAGATATAATAACTAATAGTGCACCATACAGGTATATACCGGCTTTAAAAAAAAATCGATTAGATTTTTCAGTAAAAGCTATATCGGATGCACATATTTCTTTAAGTAATGCCGCACAATTAATGGTTCCTAAAATTATAATCATAATTGGAGGATGGTCAAATTCAGCAAGTACAATTCGAATCAATGACATGTAAGTTTTAATTGTAATCTCTTGTAGTTGTAACTTTTTAAAATTCCAATATATTAAAATGGAATATTTTATTCTATTTCCAATATTACTAATACATACTATTTTATTATATTAGATTTTGCACTTCATTTTTTTTATTAAAATTTTCATTTTACTATATTGTATAATTAATAAATAAATTATAATATTTTTAGCGATGTAATTAAAAATAATACACCAGGTATATTGGATAAAGATGAATTTCGTGGTTTTTGGATTAAATGGTCTCAAGATCGCAATATTTTAGTTGGTAAAAGAAATGAAGATATACCATTTTTAGTTTATAGACATACGGAACGATTATTTCCAATAAATTTCATTGGAGTTAGTTGTTTATTTAATCATATTACAGGACATTGGATTATTAATGATGTAGTATATAATATGATCTATTGATTGTTATTTAATTATATAATAACCAAAAATTATTTTTATTCCATATAGTAACATATTAAATTGAATTTAAATCAAATTAATTCGAGAAGGTGGCATTAAAATATAATATTCTTACATTCAAGAAATAATGTAAAATTCTAAAAGGAAATATTCTAAAAAATTATGAAATTTTAATTTATCCTTGAAAATAAAGAAATTTTTTTGTTAAATTTTTAAATTATTAAATAATTATATAATTTGTTAAATGATTTTTGAAGCAAATCGATTTATTTCAGCTCCGCAGTATAATCAGGTACAATATTAATGTTAAGCATGATTTAAAAACTATACAAAATATAATAAAATTTATTTATTTCCCAAAATTAATTCATATAATATATGTACACCGAAATCTTTTATAATATTCTGATTTTTATTTTTATTCTTAATATGTATATATACAAATATACATTAGTAAGATAAGAATTTGTGCAAAATGAATTAAGGGTTTTCCCGGGACTTAATTATTATTGCATTTTATAATAAATATTCTCACTTCAAAGATAATAAGGTTATTTTTAAAAGATTCATGTATTTTATATATAAAATTTTTTGTTAGTTATAAACATATACATATGTATATACAGTTCCAGATTTTCCATATATTATGTAAAGTTAAGCATTTGCAATGAGGGCCAGTAAACAGGGGCGGCATTTAAAAATATATAAAAAAAATTTAAACAACAAAAATTTTTTCTAATTGTTTCCATTATATTCTTTTCAAAATCGATTTTTCTTATACAATCTATATACAAAACCGTATAAGCTGAAATTTTAAATCCAGGCTTTAATTCTATGACTAATCTTGTATTCAGATCATCTTAAATCACCTTGATATATTTTGTGCAATCTACAATGTTAATTGAATATTTTTCATTGCTTTGAAATTCAATTCGAATGCATTTTTTTTAGAAATTACGTAGGGTGCCGAAGAAATAAGAGCCAGGTCCGGACATATATTATATACAAACATAATGTCATTATAAATATTTTAACGGAAGCTTTTGTTTTATTCTTGTGAAGTATGTAAAATCAAAGGAGATTAAAATTGGTGGTGATAGCAAAAAATTATACTAGAATATCAAACATTTCTAATCTTTTTAATTTCCTTGTCTTTCCTTGTCGAAAGTGTTTATTGTATACTTTTTCCCTATATTCTCCTTGACTTTGTTTCTTGTGTTTGTTTATTTGTCTGGAAATCAAATATAATTGAATTTTTTAAAAATTTTTATTCTCCACAATAACTCAGAAATATGTAGCTAGTTCAATTTCTAAATTTATTGAATTATATTCCTATAAAAGCATGCAATCATAAAATTATTAAACAGTTATTGATTTTCGCGTATAGCTAGTTAGTTCTTGTCACATTTTTAAACACAATTGAATTTTTCAAATCAAGAAAATAAGAAAAATGATTTTGGACAAATTTTTTTATAGAATTTTTTTTTCTTTTGGAATTTCGCAATAAAAAATCAAAAATTAATCAAAGATTTCAAGGTTATTATTAACAAAGAACACAAAAAAAAATTCTTATTATTAAGAATTATTTTCTTATAGTTTAAAAAGTTGACGACTTCTTAAAGAAAAAAACAAACAGCAAAAGATTTTATAATTAAAAAAAAAATTGTGTTGGGAAGTTAAACTTAATTTTTAAATATGAAAATTAAGTCAGGTTTCGCTTCAGTTATCTTCTTTAAAGACTTGAGTAAAACTCTCTTATAAGACATTAAAACTATTTATCTTATTATTTTTTCTTCCTCCTGTGTTTACAATTGAATTCCTTTAAGAATATTGAGGGTAAGAAAAATATTTCCGTTTCTGTTTTTCTTTTTTTGTTCTTTTTTAAATTTCTTGTGTTATTGAAGAAAGTCACTATGTTATACAACTTCCCAACTAATGGAAGACTATATACTAATGTGCTTTATATACAATAAGAAAGAGTAGTCATGTTGTTTTTCCTCATCAAATATCGTGAGAATCTTAAGTAAAAATAATTTACTTTATAAGGAAAAAAATGAATGTAGCTTGTATATAAAAAAAAAAATTCGTATTGCATGTAAGTATTTCAAATTATTATTCATAACTTTTTATAATGAACCTTTTATTTTCATGTTGAATAGTGCTGCTTGTTGTTATTATTATTTGTAACTTTGTAAAAATTTAGTTAGGTCAAAATCAAAGTAAAAATTCACCTATTGTATTTTGGCATTTCTTTTTGTTTTTGTTTTTTTTTTTTGAAAAATGTGGGAATTCAATATTTTTCTTTTATAACAATAAATATTAAAATATTTTTCAAATACACTTAAACAAAATATAATTATTATATATAGAAGAGTGTAATAACCTTAAAAAATTTTTGTGATAAAATAATTTCATTGTTTTTGAGAAAGATCAAAAATTTTATCTAATAAAATATAACAAATTTTAAAACATTTTACTTGGTGTAGAGTTGGCAACCTTGAATTTCAAAAAAATTTTTTAATTAAATAAAAACTGTAATACCAAACAGTCTCCAACAGTTTTCAATTTAGTAAAAATTAATTTTCATTAGTAATATGTACTAAGAATCAAATATTATTGCATATATTTAGGAGAAATGCTTAGCAAAGAATAGATTTAATCAACATTATTATTAAACTAAATACAGATTTATAATTTTGAATAGGTTTTAATTTGAAATATCCTGACATTTTTTTTAATAAATTTTTTTCAATATAGAATATGTAAGTAGCAGATAACGTTCATTATATATTTACGTAATTTAAATATACACGCCGCCTTATAGCAGTAAATTATTTGTGAAAAACTGACACTTTTATGACTTTGGCTATAGCTCTTGATTAAAAGAGTAAATATAGGCTATAGATTGTGAATGACACATTTGATTGCAAAATTTTCTCTTTTTTCCCTTCTAGAACTGCTGTAATAGAATGGAAAGACAATAACGGGTGAACATTAAAACAGAACGTATTAAAAGCAATAGAAACATTTTACAAACATTTTTTTATGCTAATATAAAGCAAATCTAATATATTAGAGTAAAATGATAACAAAATGATGATTAAAATTAAAACAATTCGCAAACTCAAAGGTGAAACAAATTGATAAGAAAAATTATGAATTACACATGTGTACATATAGCGTCTATAAAAGTTAATTTAGCATGTTGTGAAAGATTTTAATTATCTATAAATTGAAATGTAAATGATCTGAATAATATATATAATAAAATTAGAAAATAATAAACAAATTATTGAAATTTTTAATAGAAAGGCATACTACTTTATATATTGGTTGTGCGATAATTAGAATTGAAAGCAATGTCATGACAAAAAAAATTTAATAAGCCTTTCTCAATCATCTTGATTGTTACACTATTGTATTTTAGAATGGGTATATATCATTATTATCTTACATATTAAATTCAAGGTTTGATTATTGTATTATTTTTCATCAGTATAGATTCTCAAAATTTATCACAAATTAAATCACAATTCATAGTTACTATGGTTTTTGAATGTGACAACTTCATAATTAATATTTTGAGAATGAAAAATCTTGTTAAAAGTCAATGACATATCCAATTAAACATATGAGAATTCTGATTAGAAAATAAGAAAAAAATGACTGAAAAAAGGATCACACACTAACATCCTGCAAGAATTTTATATACTAATCTTATAATTTAAAAAAAATCTAATTACATGGCCAGGTCTGTTTTCTAGTTTACCAAAAATTTAATAACCTTTAAATACAAATCTTTTTTTAAATTTTATGGGTGCTAGTAAGCGTTTAGTTAACATATCTAGAAAAACACGATTTTGGCTCTTATTAGATATTAATTTTATGCCATCCAAATTCCCTTCGCTAGATAGTTTCGGTTCAACAAACTTCATCAATTGGTTACTTAAATATAGTAAAAGAAAATATAAAATCGGCCACTTGTAAAAGCTTAGTTTCTGAATCCTGATGATATTTCAAAAAAAAAAAATTATAAAATTATGTATGTATATAAATTTTGATTAATTTTCCAAAGACCGTGAATATTAGCTTTTAAGGAAATTAGTTGTTTATTTCTTCGTATATTCGCAGAGTTGTTCAGTTGCTGATACCTTGTTTTAGCGAATAGTTTTTTGTATAAAATTGAAATGCGAAATTTCGTGCCATTTACAGAGCCTCCCTTGTTCGATATAATCTGGTCAGTAATTAGAACACATAAGAAAATAATATCTTCTTATTCTCACAATAAGAATAATACTAATTCAAATTTGAATATTCTTAAGTAATAAAATTTCACCCATTCTATTATTTCCCCTAATATTTTTTTTTATTTCTTTACTTTGAGGTGAATAATTATATATTTTAAAGAAGAAGAATTTGAGGCACTAAGAATTTAAAATTTTATATTATTTTCCTTAAAGAATTCAAAATAAGATGAAATCAAGAATTCCCTTCCTCATAATTTTACATTTAGATAATAAAATTTCTATATATATATATGCAAGTACTACTATTAATTCCGATTTCTGGTTTTATCTTATAGCGGAGTATAAATAAAAATTAAAAACAATAAGAAATTTCACTTTTCCTTTAAAGATTTTCCTATAAAAAAAAAAAAACAGGTGAATGAGCTAATTTTACTATAAGTACCTACTATAGATATAATACAGGTGAAAAAAAAAGTTCGTTATACACCAAAAGTGTGTATATACAAAGAAAAAGAATAATTAAAATCGCGGGAGTAATTAAATCAACATCACATCCCATGATACCAAAGTACATAACTCCAAGTTAATTTCTTCTTTTCTCAAAAGGGTTTCTTTATAATAGCTAGCTAGCAGTTTTTTTTTTATTACAATTATACATATTATTCTCGCCTATATATAAATTTTAAATGGAAATCTTTGTGGGAAAATCTAAGTCGCAAATCGTTTTAAAAATTTTTTTTTTCTTTTCTTCTGTACTTTAGTCTTATAAATGTGAACAAACAAAAAAAAAAAATGCTAATTTGCCGATTTATAAACGATTTTTGTATTTTTTCTTTAAATAATCAAATAGAAGGAGAATTCTATACCCTGTTACTGGT